ATAGTTACCTTAAAGCTTAAATAATGGTGATAATTTTTAGCTTTTTCATAAGTTTCCCATTCGAACGGCTATTCAAAAGAAAAAAAAAGAATTAGTACTTTCAATGAACTATAAATATATCTGGCGCAATATTGATAAAATTCTAGTTGAATATGATCTTTTTTTTTTAGTTGTGGGTTTTTACAATATTTAATTTTCAATTTTCAATTTTGTACCAAATTGATGTTATGAACTGAAATTAGTGAGTTTTGTTATATTTGTACTTTTTTTTTTTACTAGTGAGTGAATTATAAAAAATTGAATGTAAGATTTAAAGCTTTATTTAAATTTATGATATAATTGGGTGAATTGTAAAGTTGTAGATTGAAAATTCATCTTTATCTCGTGTATATATAAGGTATGGGTTTGTTTCTCCATTTTTTTTTCTCCTTCTTCAAATTTACCCGTCGTTTTTAAATTGACGTTGCATATAGAGAGCTAAATTAATAATTTAGTACATAGTTATATTTAATTTGTAAGTTTTTTTTCAAATCACTTCATATATGTAAAATTTATATCACACGGCTACCGTTAAAATAGTTATGTAACACGTCAAAGAGACATAAATTAGCATAAATCTCAAACTAAGATGGTATGAGTTCGATCTCCCACCCCACAAGTTGTACTCAAAAAATAACAACTAGTGACGTAACACACTTATTAAACTTTTACCTACATGGTAATTCATGCTACAAAATGGTCGTACCGAAAAATAGTGCTACAAATGAATGAAACATTAAAAGAAAAAAAGAACCAAATAATTAAATTATTAATATATGGATATAGGCATTGACAAGTGTGGCAATATTTGCCTCAAACTAATGTTGTATACTTTCATTTGAAAAATTATTAAAAAAAAATTACTTGCATTTAATGAATTATATTATATATAATACATGCCTTGTTAAAAAAAATAATGAAACTTAAAAATAAAATGAATCCAGAAGTTAACTCGTATACACCCGCGTGAGTTTGGAGAATTTTAATAGGTTTCTATATATTTTTTTTCTCGTAGTACAACGGGAGATACGAGAGATTACCAATAATGAACAAATGAGTATATCTTAATTACCGTTGAAGTATATTCATGTCAACGGTAGATTTATATTTCATCCTTAGAATTTATAAATAGATGTTTTCGGCATATKAGAGTAAGAATAGATGTCCATCAATAGTCCATAAACTATTTTGACGGTTAGTTAACTCATGTTAAAATTATATGGTGGAAAAAAAATTATTATATACACATATATATATTTTTTTAATGTATGGACATCTCTCTTTCACTTTTTAAATGGCCTCCTCTTTGAAGCTCACCACCGACCGTCATCTTCACCAGTTGTCATTGTTGTCGTCGCCAACCTCCAATGACCTTAGCCAATTATAAAGATTGAACAAAGAAGAGAGTGAAAAATGCATGGATGTGTGAATTTATGATTTATGGGATGACGATGGAATATGGATGATTGGGTAAAAAAAAAATAATGAAAGGGAAAGGGGAAGGAATAATACGAGTTCTCACTCTCTCATACGTCGTAAACAGGGAGAGGGGAATTTCTCCCTCTCTCGTTATTTCATCCCTTCTCTGTGGCCTGCGAAGATCACCAAAGGTTGGTGACGACGATGGTGATGGTTGGCGAGGATCGAGGCGGCGGTCGGTTGCCAGTGATGAACTTTACTAGTAGAGGGGATGAAGAAGGTGAAATGAGGGAGATAGTATAAAAAATGAAAGAAAGAAATATCAACATAAAAAATTTTGGAATTTATATATTTCGCAGAATCAACCATTTAAYTGCTGCACCATTTTGATTGAGATACTCATACAACCTATCTGCTTAAACATTTTAGTTGAGTGATAGTTTGTTCATCTTTAACCATTTCAACACCAGTCAACAAAAAAGTAATTCATAAACTATGTAGAGTTATTTTCAAACTTCAAATACAGTGTCTATTTTAAAACATAATTTATTAAATAAACATCTACTTCAAACCTCGAAAACAAAATATATAAACTCTAAAATGTTAGAGATCAAATAGATACCTACTCAAAATCTAAAGGATTGAAAGCATATTTTGATTTTTGTTTAAATTAATGAGTTTTGGTAGACTATCCTAAAGTTACTGGCTAAATTTATTGAAAATGGAAGGATGAGTTAAAAAAAAGAAAAAAGAACTAGTTTTATTAAAACTGAGGCACATTGCATCATTCCAAAGACAGAGAAATAAAAGGAAAAAAAAAGAAATAATAACAATAATCCAATTACCTGATATAAAAAAAACAATAATACAATTATCCAAGGGGGAAAAACTTCAACAGAAATTACAGTTTTTACTCAAAGGAGGAAAAGATAAAAAATAAAAAGTTGAGTTGATTTAATGGAAGAAGTAGAAGAATGTTGTTGGTTTTGACTGATATTACATGGTAAACCGGGTCAGCGTTTGGGAAACGCGAGTGAGTGAATTTGGTATTGCTAGGGTTTAAACAGTTGGGTTGGGCCTCCTCGTTTTCGGCTACTCTGCTTTCTCAATTCCGAACCTTGCTCAACCTCGACTCCCTTTCCGCAATGCCTCCCAAAGGTGCCAAATCCAAGGAAGCTCCGGCTGAACGACCCATTCTTGGCCGTTTCTCTTCTCATCTCAAGATTGGAATTGTATGTTCTTACTTCGATCATCCCTTTTTTCTGAATTCCAGTGGATTAATTTCCAGCTCTGTTTTATCTGGCTGCATGGAAACTGCAAATCGCCAAGAATGAAGTTTAATCACACTGTGCGAGCTATTGATTTTTTATTTTTTATTTTAATTCCATTTGCTTGTTAGTAATCTTACTTGAACGCGTGGTTTCTAATCCGGGACGCGAGTGCTTCAGATGTATCATTTTATCAGTATACAAAGCTTATTGTTTTTTTTCTTCTTCTTTAACAGTCTTTATTTACCGATTTAACAAAGGTTTGGATTGGTTTAGTGTATTTTTGGAAGTTCTGCAGATTGACCTCTTATTTTTTGGTTTGCGACACTTCTGAGCATTATTTTCCAAAAGCGTAGTGTTGTACTTGAGTGCTGATCAGCTATCGCTTCATTCCTGTGATTGTTTTTTGTTTGAGATTTCAGGTTGGATTGCCTAATGTTGGCAAATCTACTCTTTTCAACACACTCACGAAGCTGTCAATTCCTGCTGAAAACTTCCCTTTTTGCACTATTGAACCCAATGAAGCCAGAGTCAACGTGCCTGATGAGCGGTTCGAATGGCTTTGCAACTTATTCAAACCTAAAAGCGAGGTCTGCTTACTGTTCTCAAGCTATTAACAGTTCAGAATTATTCAGTTTAGTTTGTCCATCAATGAGATAATGTGTAGAATCTATTTGAAGGCACTTTTATAGGTTTTTTTTTCTCTCTGTATAAATATATATATATATAGTTATTTTGTAGCATCTGATGTTAAAACTGTTTAGCTGTTCAACTTTCAGTCGGTGCTGGATAGTTGTTGCTTATTTGGTTCTTCTAGCAGAAATGTAAAAATTTATAGTGATACAAGTTTTAGTAATGGTGCAATAGTATGCTTCCATATGCACATTGTGCGCTAAAGCAGTAAATTAGGTGCACAAAGCCAGTTGAGTACTAAGCTATCGATGATGTGGTAATGCAAAATTTTTACTTAATCTCCCATCAACTTGATTTTTTTTACCTGTTTTTAAAAATTATTTATTTATTTTTTTTTGTTCTTACTTAAATTATTATTTTTTTTTTGTAAAAGGACGTCTTTTATGATGGTTTTAATTAGAATTTCAATTTGATAAGATTTTTATGTGGTGTCAAAGTTTTGACGGTATTCTATGAAATTTGAAATCAAAGTGCTGAAGCACGAACCCCCATGCATAAGAAGATGTGCCATACCATCTCCTGGTAACCCTAGAGGGAGGCAAAGGTGTTTGAAGGTTGACTACATTAAGGTGCATTGGATGATTTGCTCTATCCACTTTTCATCTCTCACCTAGCTCTATTATTGTTTTCAAACTATTCTCTTGCCCCTAGGAATGATATTAAATTAAAAAAAAAACATTTTGGTGATTACATCAAGGTGGAGAAAACCTCAAACCACGTAGGCTTCATCGTTGATTTGAATCTATAAAGTTGATGGAGAGGGAAGAAAATGTTGCAACATGGTTATTTAAATGATTAGGAAGGGGGTCGTAAAAGTTTCCTTAACATGAACCGTCATGGGATGACTCAAGTGGTCGATGAGGGCCAATATAAATAGCAAAGGACTTAGAGGGAATGAGTTCATACCATGGTGGCCACCTACCTAGGATTTAATATCCTACGAGTTTCCTTGTCAACCAAATGTAGTAGGGTCAGGCAGTTGGCCCGTGAATAGTCGAGGTGCGCGTAAGCTGGCCCGAACATATGGATATAAAAAAAAAGTTTCCTTAACACGATTAACAACTTCCATAAAAACCTAAACCTCCACCCCCACTGTTACCAAACCTGCCTTCCTCGCTTATCCTGCTCGACCACAGTGGATTTGATCTATAGGGATGTTGTTATAGTTATTAAATGCAAATGCTTTAACTATGACTGGTTGAAAATCCTTGGTGCAGTTCAAGATTTCATTGGCCCTAGATGATCTCTTAACCCTTTCCAATTAGAGAAAGCCTTGCTATGGGTGATCTCAGTCACACCAGGTTTCCTTTTCCAATTTTCTATATGAACAAAGATTTGGTTACCATTAACAATTTGTTTTATTATTTATGAAAAATGAGATGCTACTATTCATAA